GTTTTAGAGACTCGGACCTTGGGGCACTGGTTGCTTCGACCTTGGTTCAGACCGCACCTTCAGGTCCTTCTCTGGTGGGCCCCCTGTTGTTCCCCTTTCCCTGCTGCCGGCTTCCAAACATCTGAGGGTTTCAGAGTCGGGGCAGGGTTTAGTTGGTGATAAGACTTGGACGGCTCCAGAGGCTGCCCCATTCGAGATGGAGATGGAGGCATTCGAGCCTGATTCTCATGCTGAGGCTTCTGGGTCCCTCCAGCAGACCCCCATCTTGTTGATTTTCCCCTGGACTCTGCCTTTTCTTCAAGGGTGGAGGACATGGAGGGTGGCTCTGCCCTGGGGCCTGGTTTGGAGGCTCCTGGGGCTGGGGGAGGAGTCGACCTGGGGGGGTCTTAGACCCCCCTTTGATCCCACTTGGGTTTTGGTGCCCTCTTCATAGGGTTTGTTGTTGCATGGTGTGGGGTTTCATACCCCCCTCCTGCCCTGTACGAATTTGATTTGGGGTCGACTCCTCCCTGGGTTCGGTTTTGACTTCACTTGGGTTCTTTGGCTTCCTCTTTATGGAGGTTTTCTGCCTCCTGCATCCTGCCTAAGGAGGTTCTTGTGGCTAACCTCCTGCATGACCCGGATTTTGCCTCTGTGATGGATTTGTCCTCGTTTCAGTTAGGTTCTTCTTCCCAATATTGGGTGCGTTATGAGGTCCCTGAGTCTTTCTGGCTGGCAGACTGCCCTTTCTTTTATCAGGGAGCATGGGACGGGCTTTGTCAGACCCGCACACTTGAATGGTGAGGCTACTATTCTACAGGATTACTTGGGGGGGGGGGGGGGGGGGATTGATTTTGAGTACCTCAATGCGTGCCTTTTTGCCCCTTTGTTTCCTCGTGATGATTGCCTCTTGCAGTTGCACACGCAGGTTCCCACCCTTTCAGCTGCTTTGGTGGCTGAGGATTTTCGCACTCATGGGCATTTGGCCTTGGTCTTACGCTTTTTTCTCTTCTGAGTTGTCCTCGGACTGGCTTGGGGAGGACATAGAGGTGTCGAGTGCTGGGCTTTCATCTGGAGGACTGGCCTTGGCTGTGCTGTTGAAACTGTTTGTGCTAATCCTCCGGTAGGTGGTGTGTCTGTTCTTTGCCTCTCACCTTCCATGTCGCAAGGCCGTCCTCGCTCTCTCCTTGGAATCTGCTATTCCCATCGCCCTTCTGTCCGTTGTTGTTTGGGGACTGAGGTGTTACTCAGTTTTTGCAAGCTGACTTGGCTAGTTGCCGTCCTCTTTCAGACTTGTTGGTTCTCAGGGAGGGAAGGGGAGAGGCTGGCATTCGCAGGCCTCTCAAAAAGGTCGTCTTTGCTCCATCAGGTCATCTTGGAGTGGGTGCGCTTGGGTGTGGTCAAAACGACCTCATCCCTCCTGTGAGTTTCCCCACTTTTTTCCAGTACCGAAACGGGACTGTGCAGATCTTCGGTTTATTCTGGACTTGTCCTGTCTGAACTGCTGGATCCCGTAACCCTTCCTTTCGAATGATCACTCTGTCCCAGGTCTGGCTTCTCTTTGAACCGAGTTGTTGGAGGGTGTCTCTGGACCTCTGGGGCACATATTAGCACGTCCTGATTCTTCCGGGGTTCAGCAACTGGTTAAGTTTCGTGGTGGGGCTGCATGCTTACCGCTTTTGCTGCCTTCTTTTTAACCTGAATCCTACACCTTGCATTTTCACATGTCTTACCCGGGTCGGGGTGGCCTGTTTGCGTCTGCTAGGGGTTTGAGTCCTGGCCTACTTCAACGACTGGTTGGTGTGGGTTTCCAGCCAGTCTGCCTATCTGTTCACCAGGGGTGTGCTTCTTTTCCAGCTCACTGGGTTCGTGTTCCTGGTGAACTGGAGGAATTCCCATCTGGTTCCATCCCAGGTTCGGACCTGGCTGGGCCTTGTTTGGGACTCTCGAACCGCTTCCGAGTCTCCCCTAACCACAGTGTTGCTGTGGCTGCAGTCCTGCCTTCAGCTGTTCCTGGGTGAAGGGGGTCTCAGGTCACTTGCCAGTTGCTCGACCAATTGTGCAGGAGTTTGAACTTTGCCATGCTGGTTTACCCACTGGGTCGGGTCTGGCTTCGGCGTCTGTTCTGGTTACTTCGGGGAAATCCCTTTTGTCTCTCTCACGACCACTGAGTTTGTCCCTTGTGGACCTTGCATCAGCTGCTGCATCACTGGCTTCTTCTTCATGTTTTTTGGGTATGGTGCCTTGACACCTCCTGGAGCCCTTGCTCGATGTGTACACAGCTGCCTCGTCTCTCAGCTGGGACTTTGTGACCAGTGTTCACCAAGCCAGTCAGGGGCGGTGAGCTCTGTCCTTCTGTCAGGCTCACAGCAGAGTGCGGGAGTTTGCGGTGGTGTGACTTTCGCTGCAGTGAGTTCGGGTCGTTAGGGGCTGTACGATCAGGTTCCATTCAGACTGCGTCCCGGTGGATCATTGTCTGAACTGCAGGGGGGGGGGGTCCTAGACTTTTTTGGGGCTTGTCACTTTGAGTGACTCATCTGCTGGTTTCTTGGGGTTTAGCTCTGTGCAATTCACATCCGGGGGAGTGTCCAATGTCCTGGCGGATGGCCTGTTGCGGTTCATTTCCCTGTCCACGGAATGTATGGTTGACTCCGCCTCCTTCAGTTGGCTCTGCCAGACGTACAGGCCCCTGGAGGTGGACCTCTTCATGTCGACGTGGTCCCTGCGTCTCCCGATATGTGGCGTCCTTGCCCAACTGCTGAGTCGTCGAAGTGGACACTTTTTGGCAGAACTGGTCGATGTGATGTTACCTGTACCTCTTATAACTGGTCCAGCTGTTGCTTCGGGTTCTGGCTCGACTGGAGGCTCATGGGAGAGTAATCCTTGTGGCTCCATGGTGGCCGGCCCAGCCTTGGTTGCAATCACTGCTCGCTCGGTGTCTGAAACCGGGGTGTTTTCCACACCTCCGCCTCTTCCAGCAGATTGGGCCGTGTCCGGGACCTGATTCGATCTACTCCTCCACTCTTTGCCTCTGGTCTCTTTGACGTGTGTGTGTTTCATCAGTTGTATGGTGGTCAGGTGGCTTCATTGATGGTGTCTCACCTGCGGTCTTAGTCTTTGCTACAGTATGCAGTCTCTTGGCATTCTTTTAGCTATTTCCTCTCATTTCGTAGGTTGTCTTCTGTTTCCGTTAGGGTTGTTTTGTCCTTTCATTCTTGTCTCCTTTCAGGACCGTCATCTTATGCCGAATACTGTTGCCTTGTATCATGCGGTGCTGGCGGAGCCGCTCCAGCTTGAGTTCGGAGTAGATGTCACTGCTGCCATGTTCTGTAAGCTCTCTCGTGCTTTGTTTCACCTCTGGCCTGTTCATGCGCCGCCTAAGCTGTCTTGGTGCTTGTACCAGGTGCTCTCTTTACTCTCTCCTCCTCGGTTTATGGTGGTCCCCTTCGGTCAGAAATTTCTTTCAGAAGGCTTTGTTTCTGTTGGCAGTAGCCTCTGGGGGGAGGGGGGAGGGTTGGTGAGGTTCATGCTCTCCTCAGGCGCAGGGCTTTCTGCTCCTTTGGTCTTGGGGGATGGTTTGTTCAGTTGCAGACGTCTCCTTCTTTTCTGGTGAAGAACAAGACAGCGGGCATCTGAAGGGCTCCTTGGGTCATTAATGCTGGGTTGGTTCGGCGGGGGGTGCATCATGCGTTATGTCTGGTTGCTGCTCCTCTTCATTACCTGCGTGCCTCGGCTTCTGTGTCCAGGGACACAATTTAGGTTGACCCGATCTCCCTCGTTCCCTGTTCTAGGGCTTGGGTCTCAGGTTTTCCTCAGGGTTATTAAGTCTAGCCAGCCTGTGGTCTATCCTCATGCCCAAGATGTTCGTAAGTATGCTGTATTTGCCGCTGTGTTCGGGAACATGTCCTGGGCTGATATTCAGGCACAGGGTTTTGTAGGTCGAACATGATCCTGACCACCTGTTTTTTGTTGAATGTTATTAGTCCAAGTCATACTTGTGTGGCCTTGGGCTGTCAGTTGCAGCTAGTTGTCTCGTCTTCGAGCTGAGGCATGCAGTGCTGCCACCACCACCTGGGTAAGTCCCTTTTTTACTTAACTTTGTATATGTAGCTCCAGGGAGCCAGAGGGGGCTCCCCACGCAAAACCAGTGTTTAATGTAATGAAACGCCATTTTCTGGGCGAGTCCCAGATGCTCCCTGGCACCCTCCTTCCCTCCCTTTGGTCGGAGGTTTAGATTTTCGATTTTGATGCTTAGTCTGCGATATATACCAATTAGCAATTAGCAGTCTATACCAATTAGCAGTCTATACCAATTAGCAGTCTCCGTGGTGTAGTGGTAAGACACTCGCCTGGCGTTCCGCGAGCGCTATGTCATGGGTTCGTATCCTGGCCGGGAGGATTTACTGGGCGCAATTCCTTAACTGTAGCCTCTGTTTAACGCAACAGTAAAATGTGTACTTGGATGAAAAAACGATTCTTCGCGGCAGGGGATCGTATTCCAGGGACCATAGGATTAAGGACTTGCCCGAAACGCTACGCATACTAGTGGCTGTACAAGAATGTAACAACTCTTGTATATATCTCAAAAAAAAACTAAGGAGTGGGCAGCCGACACGAATGTCTGGGGAGGGGGGTGGAGAGCTGATGATGATTGTTAGCTTGCTTCTTTATTTTTTGGGGAATTCTGGCTCCCTACTTGGACTTGTGTTGCAATTTTATACCAAGTTGGGGGATTGTTTTGAGACGCCTATCTTTCTGGGTGCCTAACCCCAGTCGATGGCAGACATGAAATACTCCAAAACACAGGGAAATTTCCTTAGGCCATTGCTCCCTGTGACTGAGGGGGGCCAGGTTCTGGCTCATGGTCCCTGGTGGGCAGAACTCCATTGACTGAAACCTCAGACTCGAGGGCTCAGCCAGAAAGTGAATTTACATTACATTCAACACTGGTTTTTGTCTCTACAAAAGTCCCACAATGAGTTCTTTAATCCGTAAGACACGTTCTCTTGTGCTTCCCTCAGCTCGACAGTGATTGGTTACATGTGTCTCCCGATCAACTTCAGTGACACTGCCAACAAGACCAACGCTATTACTCAGATCTTGTTTGGGGTGAGCCTTAACAACTTCTTCCAGCGTGCTGGACGGGACCTGCATGCGACGTGGCGCGAGATGTTGATCATGTGTGCAGTCGCCTTTGCCATTGCTGTCGTCATCACTATCCTCCTCAGGTGACTCACTCTACATGTGTACTTTTCTCTCTGCAGTATTTAACAGTTTAAGATCAGTCAAGCTCTGCTTGGCCTAGCCTAGTATTCATGTGTTCAAATTTGGTTTTATTGAGTTAGAGTTGTGGCTGTTAGGTGTGATGACTAATGTTTATTGCTAAGTTCAGGATGTCTACCAGTCTTAAGAAACTTGGGTGCCAGTAAATGTCTGTGGTGGACAATTGTGAACAGTGCCAGTGACACTGAGTGACAGTGAATGTCCGTGTTGGTTGACAGTGTTTTGGTCCTCAGGTTTCTGGCACAGGTAGTGGTGTGGCTGTCTGTGATCATCATGATAGTTGGCAGCATTGGTGGCACCGCCTACTTATGGGTCCTCTGGCACAAGAACACTAACAACTTGAAGAACATGCAGAACAACTCGTCAAGCTCAAATGCTTATGAAATAAAAGTGACACAAAACTACATACAATCCTTGCTCATTGGGGCAATTGTGTCGACTATTGTTACGGTAAGTCCCAGACAGGAACACCTCATAGTACTTCTTGATCAAAATAAAATCGGATTTGTTAAAGAATTATTGTAATGTCATTATAAGCTTTTACATTCAGCCACTGTGCTGTGCTCCCCCCTCCCGAGGAGGGGGGGGGAGCTGTGCAGACAGCGGCGCGGCGACGTGTAACGTCATGTTCATTTGCTCGTTTCTTTTAGGGAGAGTTATATCCACTTGTTCAGCTTTTGGTAGCAATAATTTCACCAGAATAGGGGTTTATTTTGGGATGCTTGCCTTTCTGGGTGCCTGACCCGGTCGATGGCAGACATAGAATACTTCCAACTACACGGGGTTTTGATAGGCCATTGCTCCCCACGCCTCTCTGAGGGGGCCAGGTTCTGGCCGTGGTCCCCGGTAGGCCAACAGAACAGGTCGCTACTGAACTGGGTTCCCACTTTTCATCTGTTAGCTCTGGTCTTCATCTTCCCCAATCTTTCCCCTTCTTCGTAAACCTGCCCTTGAATCTCGTCCTTTAGATTTCTGCACTCGTCTTCGACTTTCCTATAACGATCCCTTCTCTCTCTCAGAACTTCGTTCTGCCCTGGCCCTCTGCGGTTCTTTGGCGGCGGGTCGCAATGGCATTCATTATGAGATGCTTCGCCATCTTCCTTCCGTGCACGTCTCGGTATTTACTGAGTTTATATAATCGGATCTGGGAGTCGTCGTCAGTCCTTGAGGACTGACTCGATGCCATTGTCCTTCCTGATTGCAAACCGGGGTCTCTGGGAACATCCCCTAAGGATTTTTGCCTATTGCCCTCACAAGTTGTGTCTGCAAACTCTTTGAACGTATGGTTAACGTTCGTCTGATGTGGTTCCTGGAACACTATCACCACCTCTCCCCTTCTCCATTTAGTTTCCGCAAGTGCCGCAGCACAACAGATGTCCTGGTGAACTTGGAGGTCTATATTCGTACTGCTTTTGCTGCGAAAACCTCCGTTGTTGCCGTCCTTTTTGATGTAACACGAGTTTAGGTTCCTCTCTCTTTACTTCCTTCTTTCTACTCCCTCTACCCGTATTCTTACTTTTATTTCTAAACCAAGGGACTCCAAAACTTTTACCAAAGCCAACTCCACGCCACGTGGTCCTAAGACGATTGACCGACTTAGGATTCTACACCCAGTATGACGTGACCTAAGCTCTGAACAAAACCCTAGAGTCACCTCTGCTGCCACCACCAGACCAGTAATACAAGAGCAATGATCGAGGTCTGGATCGATCACGCTAATTAATCAACCTAGGGGCTTGATCCCCACTATAAACGATGACCTTGAGTGTGGAATAAATTACACGGTAATGATAATTCCGATTCGATGTTAGAATCGGCGCCCAATGCAACTCTGCCTCGTGTGGACCACGTGACCAGGACAAGTATACACATAAAACACATGGAAACAATAAAATGCAAATTAATAACAAATTTAATTTATTAAAAGAAAACTAAAACAAAATCTAAATATGTTCACTCCCTATCACTTTAACACTCCCTACTTGACCTGAGTGGCAAATGAGACTATTTCTATACTTAACAATAGCAACTATACCTTGGGCGACCACAGCTCTAGGTGTTGGGGCTGGTCTTGGGGAGAGGTAAGATGTTGACCTCTTATCCCAGCTGCTTCCGTGACCACACTGATCTTTTCCTTGTCTGGACTACCCCAGACAGAGTATTGTATTGTTCCGCATCGCTTACCCAGTTACTTTAGCAAGGTTAAGTTATAACAATTAAACTCTGTTGTACTTAATTGATCCAGACTGGTTGAATTATTTTACTGAATTAAATTACAAACATCTAACGGCAGAGCTGTTCCCGATCACAAAAATGGTTATTAAAACTTTGAGAAATAGTAGACCTGTCAACCCCTGATGACCTATGACCGCCGGTCACTCCGCTTTAAAAGTTAGATCTGATTCGTGACGTCACTGATGGTGACTTAAACTCAATAATTAGAATACTCTTGATATTGTATCCAGTACTATTATACAATACAATTTTAATAAAAATGAATAAAGGCTAATTTTCTCTAAATTACTGAATACTATAGGATGATTCATTATACGCAGGTATGAACAAAGCGTCGGTTATTTCCACCGCGAATTCCCCTGGGGGTCAGGTCACCATGCGGCTCAGCTTCCCATTCTCTTTTGTCGATAAACCACTCTGGATAATTCTTACAACAGCCTAGTTTGTTACATTGACCTGGAAAAGGCTTACGACACTATTTGGCGATATCATATTCTATCCCAGCTTCATTCTTTTGGCCTTCGTGGTCATCTCCCTCTCTCTCTCTCTCTCTCATCGCTCCTTTCGGGTGCGCCTTGGTACCACTCTCTCTGCCTCTTTTCAGCAATACGAAGGTGTGCCCCAGGGTAGTGTTCTGAGCACTACTTTTTTCTGGTTGCCCTCAATGGTCTTCTTTCCTCTCTTCCTTCTGGTGTCTTCTCCACTCTCTATGTCGATGATCTTACCCTTTGCTGTCAGGGTGATGATTCGCCTCTCCTTCAACGCCGGCTTCAACTTGCGATTGATGCCGTGTCGTCTTGGGCCACCGATCATGGCTTCAAGTTCTCTACTACTAAGACTTGTGCCATGACTTTTACTCGGAAACGGGTCATTCTTCGTCCCTCTTTGTCACTTTATGGTCATCCCCTTGAATACAAAAATTCGGCGAATCTTTTGGGGTTATTCTTTGACACTCGTTGTCTTGGTCTCCCTATATCTCTTACCTCCGTGTTGAGTGCTCTAAGGCCCTTACCCTCCTTCGGGTATTGTCCCATACTTCTTGGGGAGCGGATAGGCGCCCTCTCTTTGCTTTACATTCCTCTCTCGTCCTGTCTAAGCTCGATTATAGTTGCCCTGCTTACTCGTCTGCTTCTCCTTCTACTCTTTGCCGTCTTGATGCTTTGCACCATACTGGGTTCCGCCTCAGTTCTGGTGCCTTTCGTTCGACTACCGTCCTCAAATTATGTTGACACTGGCTTCTTATCTCTCCAGGACCGCCGTGATCGCTACTGTCTTCGCTATCTTGTGCGGTCGTTGCAACATCCTTCCATACTGTTATTGTTTTAATTACACTATTTACACACATATGTATACATATCTACATGTTTTATTAACCATAAGTAAGTAAGCCGGTATTGAGTCCAAACAGCATAGTGGCCACCATACACTGCATGAGAAATCACACAGCAGACGTCGCTACGAGTACGACGTCACCTCCCTAAACAAAATGGCTTCTCCCAACATACTCCTGTTGCTGTTATTACACTATATACACACATTGTATATACCCATGTACATATGTATTCGCCATTGCGAACCACTAAGCTAGAAATTTAAAGAAAATTAATAGATACATTGTAGTAAAATTTAAGGATTATCAACAGGTACATTGTTGCATATTCTGAGGATTATTAATAAATACAGTGTAGTAAAATTTGCTTCAACATAACAACCATGATACAAGTTGATAGCAGTGATTACAATGGTGAAGTTGCATGGTTTAGGCACATGTATTGGTGGCAACCCGTCCTCGACTCAAGTCCATTACATTCAGCGGTCGACCCCACAGATGCATTCATAAATTTTAACATGCTGTTCATTCAAAACGGGAATTTTCTTAAGTATAAATTAATATTATAATATATTAGCCTATTGTGCATATATAGGCATAGGATAGGTTAGGTTAGGTGTTTAGGTTCTGTTGGCGATTATTTGTATTTGTAGTACGTGGGTGAAGCATTTACAGCGTTGTGATTCGAACAAAATTCGTCAGTGAAGCACTTGTTCCGGATATGTTCGAACGTCAGCAGTTGTGAGTCGTGTGTAAACCGCTTTTCATTCATAAACAGGTGGTTTGGCGGGTGCATGGAATCACTTTTGAATCTTTGTTTGGAGGACGGGCTGTTGGTGGAGTGGGTAGCACAAGATACAGTGGGAGTTTGAAGCACTAGGTAGGATCCCGAGAGGATGACATTAGGTACTTTCTGGTTATTCCTTTAAATAACGCATAGGTTGGACAGCTTTTTAATAAGTTAGGGAGTGATCTCCGTAAAATAAATCCCTTAATTCGTATGGTGTTTACACAAAATTAGTTTGACTTTGGGGATATCAAGGAGATATTTATTTCTGGTGTGATGATTATGGGTTCTATTACATCTGTCAAGGAAGAGTTTCAGATCAGGATTTCCATTTAGGAACAAGGTTTTGTACATGTAAATGGCACAAGAGAATGTGTGTGGAGTGGGTTTATGTTTAGCAAGTTTAGGGATTTAAACAGAGGGGCTGAGTGTTGTCTGAAAACAGAGTTCGTTATTGTTCTGATACCAGATTTCGGCTGGGTAATGATGGGCTTGACGTAGTTTGCAGTGGTTGAACTCCAAGCACAGATACTATATGTAAGATAGGGGTTGATTAGCACGTAGTGTGAGATTTGTACACCTGAATTACCACTTTCTTTTCCTTGAAGTCAAAGGTTTGTTTGATTCTTCCTAGGTTGTTGATTCTTCCATCGTACTTGTTGAGCAACTTTCAATGCTCAACTTTTGGGCAATGCTTTATTGTCCGAGACGCTGGGCATATTAGTGGCTTTAGGCATGTACTATATCTTGAAATCCAGCGTTTTGTTTGTAACTCATTTTGAATGTACCTGTATGTACTTTTACCTGAATAAACATTTATTTATTTAATGACTGTTGAATCCTGATTCCTAGGTTCATTTCTTCACCAATCTGCTGCATGATAGTGCTGCTGCTATGATAGTTATGATGTACTTTATTAAGCCGTACTTTGCTATATGATTAGTATCCAGGACACAATGGCATCTTCCTATTAGTGCCACTAACTGATTTTAATAAAAAAAGAAAGTTTCATATTAAATCAAATCCATATTTGCATTTTAAGCCTAAATTATTTAGCATATATAAAACCCCTTGTTAATCCTTCCACCAACAGGTGCTGTTTCTTATCATTTTAATAGCAATGAGAAATCGCATAAAGCTGGTGATCGCCCTCTTCAAGGAGGCGGGAAAGGCTGTTGCCTCCATGCCGCTCATGCTCCTCCAGCCGATCTGGGTAAGGTGCTGCCTCTTGCTGCCTCTGCAAAACATCACACACACATTACCTTTACAAAACTTCACACACACTTTTTCATGACTTTTGTTAGACCAAAGCTGGAATATGCAGCGGTTGTGTGGTGCCGCCCATATCTTAAGGACATTAACAAACTGGAAAAGGTCCAAAGACATGCTACTAAGTGGCTCCCAGAACTGAAGGCCAAGAGCTACAAGGAGAGGTTAGAGGCATTAAATATGCCAAAACTAGAAGACAGAAGAAAGAGACGATATGATCACTACGTACAAAATAGTAACAGGAATCGACAAAATTGACAGGGAAGATTTCCTGAGAACCGGAACTTCAAGAACAAGAGGTCATAGATTTAAACTAACGAAACAAAGCTGCCGGAGAAATATAAGAAAATTCACTTTTGTAAACAGAGTGGTAGACGGTTGGAACAAGTTAAGAGAGAAGATTGTGGAGGCCAAAACCGTCAGTAGTTTCAAAGGGTGCTGGGAAGACGGGACACCACGAGCGTAGCTCTCATCCTGTAACTACACTTAGGTAATTACACACACACACACACACACACACACACACACACACACACACACACACACACACACACACACACACACACACATGCAAACTGCATCTGCAAAACCAACAAACTCTTGCTCCCTTCCATGCTGTACTTAAAAAACTTCACCTTTATTATAGTTTTACTGGATGATCCATGGAGTGAAGACTTCGTGTGCTCCTCAGTGAAACATTCTCAGGTTCCAGTGTGAAGGGTTGGTCTCTCTGGGCGAAGGTGATCAATCCAGTTTTATATTTTTTTAGTCTCATCAGTGGACTGAGCACACTATCTCATTACAATATCATAAATATTTTTGAGGGACTCTTTATTAGCAAAAATCTAAAACAGCATTTTCATAATTCCCTCTTTCAAATTGTGATTTGGTAAGACGTTAGTTTGACACAACGTTTGGCAGTAGGACCTCTTAGTTTTGATGTAACCTATTTTGTCTGATGAATGTTTGTCGTGATTGCAGACATTCCTGTGGCTGGCGCTGGTGTGCGCACTATGGGTGTTGGGCTGGATCATTATAGAGTCCTCGGGTGACCCTAACAAGTACTACAATACCATAGTCTTTGTTATAAACGACTTCATTAAAGTAAGTGTTAATGTTTGTTTATATATATATATATATAATATTTATTTATTTATTTATATATATATATATATATTTATTTATTTATTTATTTATTTATTTTGGTAGCAGTCTTTCTGCAAACATATGTTGTTGAAAATGGCCGTAAAGGTAAGATTAATAAGTCTAACACGAATTTTCTCAATATTTCTTATGTTTTTCTTCACTGTCGGTGGTAATGGAAATATCAATTCTCCAAAATTCATGTTTATTAATGGTCTGATGCCTAGAAGCGTTTCGTAAGGGTTTCTTACATTCTCAAAAACTTGTTTACACTTAACACTACACTTATGATACACTTGATACACTGTGTATGAAATATTTGACATAACTCTTGCTTTTTATTGGTTTTGGGTTTATTGGGTTTGGCTTTTTATTGGATTTCTTGGCATTCCTATGATTTAGTTTGGAAGGCAAATATGAACTTCATACTCTCTGACCAAACTAAATTCCAAAGGGTAACGAAGGACACTACAGCCGAATTGAAAACGAAGGTAAACAGATTGATTGAAACTGTGAACACCAAGAAATCCGGACTCCACCTGCCAAAGGTTATTGGGGAATACAAACCTGGGTATGCCTATGGAAATGTCAAGACCCACAAGCCTGGAAACCCACTTCAGCCAATCATCAGCCAGATACCCACGCCCATATACAGACTGGCTAAGCGACTCAACGGGTTGCTGACTCTTTACGTACCTTGTGCTTTCAGCCTGAGGTCTCCCAAGGAATTTGTCGACTTACTGTGGGGGAGCATAGGCAATGGGGATAAGAGCCTCGTTGTATGTAGTCACTACCAACGTACCTGTAGATGAAACAATTTGGATGATACCAGACAGAGTGTATCGTGACCCGGCTTGCACTCCTCTTGACATGCCAGAAAACATACTGAGGAAACTACTCCAAGCCTGCACTAAAGAGGCACCCTTCTTGAGCCCAGATTTGCACATGTATAAGCAAGTAGATGGGGTCGCCATGGGTTCTCCCTTAGGTGTCCTGTTTGCGAACTTCTACATGGGCACCATCGAGCAGAGGGTCTTAGTTGACATGGACTTGAAACCCACCATATACTGCAGGTATGTTGACAACATTTTTATGCAAGTACCTGACGCCAGATGTCTGCAGCAGCTGAAGGAGGCATTTGAGCGGAATTCTGTGTTGAGCTTCACTTACGAAATGGAGAATAATGGGAAGTTGCTCTTTCTGGATGTAAGTCACAGAAAGAAGTGGAGGCTTCCACAGTGTAGTCAAAACTAAGGAAACATAGGAATGCACCTCAATGTCAATAGTGACTGCCCAGACAGGTAAAAGAGGAGTGTTGTCAACGCTTACGTTGACCGTGCTCTCAGCCACAGCTCAGGATGGAAGGAAGTCGATGAAGAACTCTGCAGGGTAAGGCAGGTCCTAGTCAACAACGGCTTCTCTAACGGTTTCGTTGAAGGCATCATAAAAAGAAAGGTGAAATGTCATGAAACCTCTGAAGAGACAACTAACACAACACTTGTACCCCCTATTAGACTATTTTACAGAAACTTCTTTTCGATGGCTCATAAAATGGAGGAAAGGGTCCTGAAAAATATTGTTGACAGGAACGATATTCCTACAGACAAAAATCAGAAAATACAATTGATAATTTATTATAAAACCAAAAAAAACGGCCAATCTACTTATGAAAAACTCCCCAAAAACCAAGCAGAATGCTTTGAAGGAGACCAACATCGTCTATGCCTTTAAATGCCCACTTGGGGACTGTAAGCCCTAAAGAACTCAGTATATAGGCAAGGCAACAACGTCTCTTTCCAGGCGATTAACAATGCATAAGCAACAGGGCTCCATTAAGGAACATATAATCACTTCTCACAACCAAACCATCACCAGAAAAATCTTAACAAACACAGAAATCATCGATAAATGCAGCGATAGCTTGCGGCTCGACATCAGCGAGGCACTACACATCAAAAAGTCAACACCAGCAATCAACAGCCAATTAATGCACAACTATATTCTGCCCACTTCAAGGCACAGTATGGGCCAATAGGCCCTCTGCAGTTACTTCCATTCTCATGTACCCACCTCACCCATAACCAATAAAAAGCAAGAGTTATGTCAAATGTTTCATTCACAGTGTATCATAAGTGTAGTGTTAAGTGTAAACAAGTCTTTGAGAATGTAAGAAGCCCTTACGAAACGCTTCTAGGCATCAGACCATTAATAAAAATGAATTGGAGAATTGATATTTCCATTACCACCGACAGTGAAGAAAAACATACATATATATATATATATATATATATATATATATATATATATATATATATATATATATATATGTATGTCGTACCTAATAGCCAGAACTCACTTCTCAGCCTACTATTCAAGGCCCGATTTGCCTAATAAGCCAAGTTTTCATGAATTAATGTTTTTTCGTCTACCTAACCTACCTAACCTAACCTAACCTAGCTTTTTTGGCTACCTAACCTAACCTTACCTATAAATATTGGTTAGGTTAGGTTAGGTAGGGTTGGTTAGGTTCGGTCATATATCTACGTTAATTTTAACTCCAATAAAAAAAAATTGACCTCATACATAGAGAAAAGGGTTGCTTTATCATTTCATAAGAAAAAAATTATAGTAAATATATTAATTCAGGAAAACTTGACTTATTAGGCAAATCGGGCCTTGAATAGTAGGCTGAAAAATGAGTTCTGGCTACTAGGTACGACATATATATATATATATATATATATATATATATATATATATATATATATATATATATATATATATATATATATATATATATAATAAATAACTTAAGTTCCCATTTTTTTATATACTGTATTGTCTTCAAATCACACACACACACACACACAGGTAATTAGACAGACACCTAGTGAGACAAACGACTACAAAAATAGGCAGGGAGCCAATATCTAACAACATATCCTCTTCTTCTCCTCAGTATATGCGTATCTACCACATATTTGCCATCTTGTGGATCACACAGTTCCTCCTGGCCTGTCAGGACGTCACCATTGCCGGCGCTGTTGCCCAGTGGTACTTCACCAGGTATGTTCCCCTAAGACTAATAAGTAATGCCAACCCAATTTTCTACACATTTTACCTATACAGTATTAATAATAACAGGTTATAGAATATACTCTACAATAATAACAGGTTATTTATAGAATATACTCTACAATAATAACAGGTTATTTATAGAATATACTCTACAATAATAACAGGTTATTTATAGAATATACTGTACAATTCACAGAAGATGGTACAGTGGTTGCATAGTGGGTACAGTAATGGTATATTTTATAAAGCCACTCATTACGACAGCATTTAGCAAATAACCTAAAAATATTTAGTAAGTTTAGTTTTAAATTTATTGGGGTAATTATTATTACTATATGAGAAGTAAACTAACATTGACGAATTGTTGAAATTTATCATAAACTACTTTATTATAAAATTTAATATTTACAATAGCAAACTTAAATTTACTTATGTAGGATGAAGAAATGTGAGTGAATGTCATTGCATAAAGTTAATTCTGCACTCTTTAGTTTTCTTTTAATAATTCCTATTGTCTGGGACAGGTAGCCTGTACTTAATTTAGGCTTGTTGAGGTCCCTCCTTTGGCCAGCTTCTGACCTTTCCTAGAATGAATCTCTCAACAGTTAACTATCTCCCAGGTACATACTGTGACACCTTGGCTTACAAATGCCCCTCTTTATGAACTTTTCGGTTTACGAGCCCAATTTCTTCGTAAAATTTGAATCGGGTTACGAACTTTGCCTCGGGTAACGTAGTTTGTTGATACGCATATGGCTGACCTAGCGCGTGATGGCAGGTGACAGTGCCTTAGTTGAGCATTACCTCCTGCCTAGTGACAATCGCGCTTGAATTCTTTGTACAGAATTTGTGTTTCTCGGATTTTTGGGTATTTGAACATAAAATTTCTTATTATATATCTCGCCATAAATCCCAAGAAGCCCAGTGGTAAGGTTCAATCCTAGAAAACTCACGTGAGGATGACCATAGAGGAAAAACAAGAGATCATTTGTAAACATGAAAATGGTTCTTATCTTGAGGTTATCTTAAGATGATTTCGGCGCTTTAGTGTCCCCGCGGCCCGGTCCTCGACCAGGCCTCCACCCCCAGGAAGCAGCCCGTGACAGCTAACACCCAGGTACCTATTTTACTGGTAGGTAACAGGGGCATAGGGTGAAAGAAACTCTGCCCATTGTTTCTCGCCGGCGCCCGGGATCGAACCCGGGACCACAGGATCACAAGTCCAGCGTGCTGTCCGCTCGGCCGACTGGCTCTTAATCTTTGCCTTAATCTTTTTAAATGACACTGTGATCCCTCACTACAGACTAGTGTAACAACATAGGAAAAAATCTGTATAGATAGATTTTTAGCGAGAAAAATAGTGAGCCAGAAGCAGGTCCTAGTGGTATGCAGGGAAAACATCCCAGAGAGTACCCCAGAGAAGTCATTACTGCTGTAGCGAGTAGATTATCCCAATAATATACTCGCTCCAAATATAGTGTTAATATGCCTGTCAACCTTTGGAGATGAATGAGGTGAGGCGTTGCCCGAGCAATATAAGCAGCGGTGTAGCGAACATTAACTAGTCTACTTTCAAGTGTGGTCTAGAGCGGACACTTGCGAGATACTGTACCAACGCTCAGTGCGCTCAACTCACACCAACGTATCACCTGTGTACTTCTGTATATTCGACCAAATATATATATAGTATCTTAGTGTCTGTGTTTATTTGTCACCATACTTTACGTAACAATAGAACCGTTACACTGCCTCATGTTATAATGGAAGGGGACTCCCCTTTCAAACACTAACAACTCTTCTCCCCCCCCCCCCCCCCCCTCTCCTCACCGTCTTCCATACGCAAACAAGAATCATCAATAAAGGTAAACGATAACTTGTACGTACTTTAGTACTAAAGATTTGGGTGAATTAGGTTTAAAATTTACTTTGAAGTTAATATTTTTAGAAGTGTGGAACAGATTAATTCAATTTACATATTTTCTTATTGTTAAATTTGCTTCAGTTTACGAATTTTAGGGCTACAAACCATCTCTGGGAACGGATTAAATTCATAAGCTTAGGTACCACTATATGTGTTTACAGCTAGGTGAACAGACATATCAGGTGAAAGGAAACATGCCCACCCATTTCAGTGCTGACCAGGTATTGAAACCTTGTCGCTCAGTTGTTACAACAGGATATATTACTGGTGTACTGGAAGACTTCTCAGATTGGTTGTCAGAAGTACAACATTTAAGAGGCCATGAACTGCTTCTCAAACTTCCTCAAACGCCTTTAATTTTCTGGGGAGCCCCTTCGGCTCCCCTGAGCTTACTAGGCTGATATGCTAATGTCAGACTTTGGCATCAGTCATGTGTATGGAGTTCTGTGGGCCTACCGGGGACCACGAGCCAGAATCTGGCCCCCTCAGAGAGGCATGGGGAGCAATGGCCTATAGAAACCCCCGTGTGGTTGGAAGCATTCTATGTCTACCATCGACCGGGTCAGGCACCCAGAAACGTAAGCATCCCAAAACAAACCCCTATTCTGGTGAATTTATTGTTACCAAAAGTCGAACAAGTAGATAGAACTCCCCTAAAAGAAACGAGCAAACGATCATGACGTCACACGTCGCTGCGCCGCTGTCTGCGCAGCTTCCCCCTCCCCAGGAGGGGGAAGGTAGAGCCCCAGACCCCTCACGCCGGCTGTCCACCCATCAATTCTTAGGCTGATGCTAGAGGCAGTAGTTGTGTGCTTGGCTCCAGTTTTTCCAGCACTGTACCTGCGTGTGGTGCTGTCTTCCAGGCGTGGGAGAGCCAGGAGTTCTTCTACGGTACTCGGGCTGCACGTGCCTAGGGTTATCGTCCCTTGGTGCCCTGTAAGTACTGCCCTTGGATCTTGGGGTTACCTTTCACAAGTTCCTCGGGGTCTGTCTCTGCTACGCCGTATTACTGCTTGGTTTTTGGCTGCCCTTTGGGTGCTTCGGGGTTCTGTCCTCCTGGTTTACCTTAGGGTAAGAGGCGGTTTGCACTCGTGGGGCGCAGGGTACTGCACCCCAGTACCCTGAAAACAAGCTGTGCAGTATGCTGCGCAGCGTACTGCGCAGCATACTGCACAGCTTGTTTTCACCACTCACAGCGGCCGGCTCTGTTCCTTGGGGTACGTCATCCTTCTGCGGGGTTTTCTTTTTGTTTTTGTTTTTGCCTTGTAGGGGGTCTGCCTTGCTTGCCCCCTTTGTGACTGACCTGTGCACGGTTCTCTTCTGGTGGTGCCCCCTGCTAGGTCCCCGTGAGTGTACACGTTCCTGGGGTACAGCTTTAGACAGTTGTTTTGGTAGTTTTGGGCGCCGGTTAGCAGTACCCTGCCTGGGATTACTTGGGCGTGATTTACCATTAAGTGCTCAGGACCCTGGGAGTCCCCTAGGGGGCACGTGGGTCCGATGGATGTGTCTCCGGAGTCTACCCCTCGCTATGTGCGAGTTCGAGGGTTGCTCAGTCCTCTTGACTCGGTGTGACACTCACGGTTTATGCCTCTTTCATGCTGCCTGCTGGGTCGGTGACACCTTCGACCCGGAGTTCTGAGAGTTCTGTTGCTAGTGACTCAATTTACCCAATCTCAAGATGATGATCTATGGTTACAGGCGTTGCATGCTCGTTTTAGGTTGCTTCAGCGCATTAGGCGAGTTGCTCACCCGGATGCCCTGAGGCTTTCCCATTTTGCTTATAGGGATCAGGACTTGGGGTGAGGGTCGCTTTGACCTTAATTCAGTTTGCGCCCCCTCGCCCTTCCCCTTCTATGGTGCATCCTGGTCCCCCCCCCCCAATCCTGCTTCCGGCCCCAAAACGTCTGAGGGTTTCTGGGTTGAGGAGGGTTTTAAATGGTCTTGGGGTCTCGGACGGTCTCAGGGGTTGCCCCTTCTGGTGTGGCGACGGAGGCACTCGAGTCCGATCTCCCTGCCGAAGCCTCTGGGTCTGATCAATGGGCCCCCTTCTGTTCGGCTTACTTTGCTGCGCTGGGTTTTTCTTTAGGGGCCGGTGCTCTGGGGAATGACTCGGCCCCGGGTCCCGAGGAGGGGGATCCTGGGGCTGGGGACTAATGAACTAAACTAACTCTTTCACAATGCTAACTGTAAGTGTGTTTCTCAGGAACAAGAAGGAGCTGGGTTGGCCCATTGCAGAGAGCATGCATCGGATGTTCCGCTACCACCTGGGCTCCATTGCACTCGGCTCCCTCATCATTGCCATTGTTAAGTTTATACGGCTCATTCTCAAGGTGAGTGGACCCACTAACTCATTCACCCACCAACCCATCCTCTTACAAATTATGTCACTTTGCTCGTATGCACTACGGCCAAAAAACCAGCATTGAATGTAATGAAACGCCATTTTCTAGGTGAGACCCAGAGGCTCCCCCGGGCTATCCAGGCTGATATTCTAATGTCAGACTTGGGCATCAGTCATATGTATGGAGTTCTGTGGGCCTACCAGGGATCATGAGCCAGAACCTCGCCCCCTTAGAAGAGGCAAGGGGAACATAGAAACCCCCATGTGGTTGGAAGCATTCTATGCCTGCCATCAACAGGGTCAAGCACCCAGAAAGGTAAGCGTCCCAAAACAAACCCCTATTTTGGTAAAAATTGCGATGAAAAGCCGAACAAGTGGATAGAACTCCCCAAACAGAAACGGGCAAACGAATATGACGTCACACGTCGTCACGCCACTGTCTGTGCAGCTTCCCCCCCCCCTCCCCAGTAGGGGGAAGGGGGAGCCACAGGACCCTTGTGCCGGCAATCCACCTCTCAGTTTTGAGGCTGGACATCAAAACACGCGAAAAACCGCCGACTGGGGGCGAGGGAAGATTGCCGGGGAGCCCCCGGGTCTCGCCCATCAGCTCCCCGGAGCTACCTACCCAACAATGAAAACAAGAGGGACCTAACCCAGGAGGCGGAAGACGCACACCTCCCCAATGCAATGCGGAGACAAAAACTGCCACCGCCAACCCAAGGCCACACAGGCCCAACAAGGCCCAGGAACATCAACGAAGGAACGCAGAGCCAACCAATGAATGACGTGGACATGGGGACAAACGGCAGGCTGGCAGGACAGAACCACCCCACGGACGACCCGAGAGAACCACACCCTGGTATAGGGAAGAGGGGAACTCGGAACAACCTAAATCGCGACCTCGGTCACGGCAGCCATGGCATGCCAAGCACAGCGCATTGCCGCAACCGAACACAAAGCATGCACCCCCGGCCAGACCAACCAAGCATCAAACAACCCATGGACACCTCCAGAAAGCAGCTGTGCCAGTCTTCGCCAGAAGAGGAGGAGATGACCGCAAGTAAACAAACCTATCAGGAGAACCAAAAGAGCCAAAACCCAGGTGCCAGAGGAGGGCATGAAGCACTCCAACCCGACCCCCAGAGGTCAACGTCAACAAGAAAAGAGCCTCGGAAAACGACTTGGAACCGAAGGGGCCACAACAAATCGAGGAGAAGATAAAAGAACACACAATCCAAGAACCAGGACGGCTCAAGCGGTGCAAGAACAGGCTGGAGGTGAACTATGCCAGAGACGTCTTAGTATGTCTTAGAGACATACTAAGATATGATTTGGGATTTGTTCATATGTGATCACATTTGTGATGCATGTAACATAGTGTCTTGGGACAGTACAGATGTTCTACTGCTATAATATTGTGTACGTGTTCATTATACATAGGATTGGCAAGAAAAAACAAAACAAAAATGCATTTGGAAATGTATGCAAAAAATGAACAAAAAGTTATTTGTGGCAACTCGCGCATGATGAACTTGGCATGCGACTGCCCCGAGGGTCTACGACTGCCCCCGAGGGTCTACGCCTGCCCCCGAGGGTCTACGCCTGCCCCGAGGGTCTACGCCATGTGTCACCACCAAATTGTGACGTCACCCCACATTTTCCGGACCCCATTGCAGCCAAAGTAAGTACAATTTCGAGTTTTTTTTTTTTTAAACGGTATATGTAATCAGGGAAGGGAATTTAACACTTAAAAAAAAATATTAAAATAATTTATTTCCTGTGCACAGGGGGGGGGGGTGCCATATATGGAGCCTGAGCAGAACAGAGGTTAATGGGGGCAAACACTTAATTCTGAACAATAAGTAAGCTGATACAGTATATGAATTGATCAAGAAATTTAGCAAATGATGTAACACATTTGTTATAATGACAAGTGGCAGAGACTACTTTATTATAGAATTTGAAGCTTTAGCAACAGTACAGATATAGCATTCCCAATAACAATAGAACATGAATCGACTTTTCTGGACTCGACGAAAGGTAGGGAAATGGTACATTTTATAGTAGATAGAGCACCTGCTTAAGTAGAGCCGTCTGGGAGGAAGAGTGAGGCTATGCCCAATCATTGGAAAGCTGGGGAGGTGTGTGTATGAACTGGCTGCCTCAGGAAACTGTCAATTTCATCACCAGGCATATTTAGGATGAGCGAAATATTTTGCATTATATTAATTAGGTATTTTTTCAGTTCCTCTTAATGACTGTTCTCATCATGACTGTGTTGATAAGGAACTCTTAACACTATTCAGTATATTTTAGTACTGTTTTATTGTCATCTTTTACAATGTAAATAAATTATCTTAGTAATGCTATTTTAATTATTTGTTTATTGTAACCATTTCTTTTGTCATAATTTATACTACAAAGTCTAACAAAAATTACATCTTTCAACAGTACATTGAGAGGAAGTTAAATGGCAACTCAAACCAGGTTTGCTCCTTCATGCTCAAGTGCTGTCAGTGCTGCCTCTGGTGCTTTGAGAAATTCCTGAAATTTCTCTCGAGGAATGCTTACATAGAGATTGGTGAGTCGCTAGAGAGATCTAGGATGTACAGGTGTGTGTGTGTGTGCATAGATTTTACTGTGTGTAGTGATTCTGTTGCAGATCAGTAAAGTGCCATTTGAAACTTATTTTGGTGGGTGACTTGGTTACTGTGATAACTAGTGTATTTATATCTTATACTTGCAATACTGTATATTAGTTATTGTAAATTTTGTGGAATTAGTGGGAATGTCACCAAGTTATAAGACTTTGTTGGCTCCTCCCCTCATCCTCATGATGTGGGCGTTGTGCAGCTTCATGTTCAGGTTCCCTCCCTATCAGCTGCGCTGGTTGCTGTGGACTTGCATGCTTGTGGTCTGCTTACTCACAGGCTTGCATTTCTTCTCTCCCGGAGCGGTCTGCTGACTGGCTTGATAAGGATGTGGAGCCGTTTAGGACCATTCCTGGGTTTAGCACCTTGGGCTCGGTGGCGCATTCATTGTCTGCCTTGTTGAAGCTGTTTGCACCGATCTTGCAGGATGCGGTGTCGCTGTTTTATGCCTCCCGGCTCGCATGTCGGCAGGTGGTGCTGGCTTCCTCTTTGGAATCTGCTTGGGCTTTGGCTCTTAGAATGTCTTTGCCTTTTTATCCCTTGCCGATTGCTGATTCTGCGGTGGCACAGTCTCTGCAGGCGGCTTCAGCTAGCTATCGTCCGATGTCCGTCTTACTGGTTGTCCGGGGGTCCTGAGTGGAGGGGTCGTGCCAGGGCTCGGGGTTCTGTTTGTCATGGTAGACCACTGGTGCCAGTTTTGGAGCCGGCGCCGTCTTCGGACCCTGTCTTCATCTGGTCAGCACGGTGTTCGCTGTGTGTAGAGCTCGGACTCTCGTAAGGGGCATCGGACCTTTTGCAGTTCATCCCATTGACAGGGCGATGGGGAAGGGGGGGAGGGGAGGCTTGCTCTATTCGCTCACGCCTGGTCCCATGATTTGTGGGCTTTTCGGGTCGTTTCTGATGGCCTGTGGTGGCGTTGGGTGGCCCCGTCTTCTTCAGAGGGCTCGGGGCTGGCCGAGCAGACCTCTTCTCCTGCGCTCTGTCTGGTATTCTTGGAGTGGGTACGCTTCAGCATGGTCAAAACGACGACGTCTTTCAAATGGGTTTCCTGTTTGTTCCCAGTCTCGACACGGGACTGTGCGGACCTGTGATTCATTCGGGACTTGTCCCATCTGAACTCCTGGGTTCCATTGCCCCTCCTTCCGAATGACTACTGTCTCAGGTCCGGCCTCTGTTGGAGCTGGGCGCTTGGATGATGTCCCTGGACCTTTGAGACGCATATTGGTACGTCCCGATTCATCTGCGGTTCAGGGACTGGCTCGGTTTTGTTGTGGGGCGTCAGAGTTACTGCTTTCATTGTCTTCCGTTCGGGTTGAACGTGGCACCTTGAATTTTCACACACCTTACTCGGGTCGTGGTGGCCTGTCTGCATCTCCTAGATGTTCGGGTATTGGCCTATCTCGACGACTGGCTGATCTGGGCTCCCAGCCCAGACCTGCTTGTCTGCTCGCCAGGAATTTGTGTTCTTTCCCAGCTCACCAGGTATTATTCTTGGTGAACTGAAGGAAGTCCTATTTGGTTCCCTCCCAGGTTTGGACTTGGCTGGGTCTTATGTGAGACTCTTGGACCACTTCCTTGTCTCTCCCTCTGGAGTCTCATCTTCGGATGCGGTACCACCTTGGCCTGTTTCTGGGGGGCTCCTGGGTCGGCGGTTGCTCGAGGGTCTGTGTGGGAGCCTGAACTTTGCAGTCATGGTCTACCTGCCAGATCAGGTTTGGCTTCATCAACTGTTCTGGGTTCTTTGAAGCCATCCCTTCCACCTCTCTTGCGATTGCTGGGTTTGTCTGCCGGGGGCCTTGTGTCAGTTGCTGAGTCGCCAGCTTCCTCTTTGGGTTTGTCAGGGTTCAGTGCCTTGGCGCCTACCCGAGCCCTCACTCGATGTGTTCATGGACGCGTCGTCTCTGTGCTGGGGCTTTTTGACAAGTGCTCATCAGGCCGGACAGGGGCGGTGGGGTCAGTCCTTCCGTCGAGCCCACAGCACATTGTGGGCGTTCGCGGCAGTGTGGTTTCCCTTCGGAGGGTTTGGGTTGCCCATGGATCGACGCTCCGGCTCCATTTGGATTGCTCCCCCGGTGGTTAATTGTCTGAACCGCGGGGAATCGATGCAGTCCTAGCCTCTTTGGGGCTAGTATTTTCAGGTGACTCGTCGGCTGAGTTCTTGGGGTTTGACTCTGGACCTGGACAGGCGGATGGCCTATCCAGGTTCATTCCCCTGTCCATGGAATGGACGGTCGACGCCGACTCCTTCAGTTGGCTCTGCAAGATGTTTGGGTGCCAGGATGTGGACCTCTTCACTTCGGCGTGGTGGAGGCGTCTTCCAGTATATGTGGCGCCCTTCCCCAACTGCAAGGCCATAGGGGTTGATGCCTTTTGGCAGGACTTGTCGAGGGGGGTTCATGTACCTCTTTCCCCCCCCCCCCCCCCCCAGTTCAGCTATTGCTTCAGGTCCTGGCTTGCTTGGAGACTTACCAGGGGAGAATAGTCCTCGTGGCCTCATGGTGGCCAGCCCAGGCTTGGTTTCAGGCGCTGTTTGTTCAGTGTTCGAACCCGGAGATTTTTTCCGCGGCTTTGCCTTTTTTAGTAGGTTGGCCCGGTCCGTCACGTGACTGGTTCGATCTTCTCCTCGGGTCTTTGCACACCTGCGTGCTTCGTCTCGGCGGCAGTATGAAGTTTCTTGCCATTCCTCCTTGTTGCTTTTTGACTCACAATACCAACTTAGTGGTTCGTTATGGTGAACAAAACATGCAGATACTTATATATAACCTGTAATAACAGCAAAACTATTTGTTTATTGTTTTATGAACATCATAATTGAATCACTAATATGCACACCATACTTTTGAGTATAGGGATTATTCACCCCTTTTATTGTATAAATATATTACAATACACACTATTGAATAATATTACTGCAAAAAAACTGAAAAAATCAGACACATTGAAATAATTACGTGATAATATCTGTGGCAACTCCCACCTGTTTGCTCAGGTGACACCGACCGGCTCTGACGACCGCTCTGTCAACGCCCACTTTTTGCCAGACTTCCTCGGTCTATTGTGCCCAAAATATCACCTACGATTTTTTTTCCCCGTGCTCAGGGAATACAAATTAACATTTTTAGAAGACGAAATCGTTTTTTAGAATTTTTTTTTTTGCGCACGGGTGTAAATCTCCTCGGGACCCCTTAGCAGCTTAAGGGTTAATAAATATATCCCATTTTATATCCTACATTGTGGCTTGTCGAGCTTGAAGTTGTACCTCTTGAATAAAGGACATGAATCTTTTGAAGAAGTGGTCTGGATTAATATCTTCTAATTTGTTCAGTATTTTGAACAGCTTTATAAGATCAGCCCAGTCATGTCTGGTTTGTAGTGTTATTAGTCCCGACACTCAACCTTTCATGATAAGAAAATTTACTTAATTCTGGGATGATGTATTGCTGCTCTGTGTTGAACTTTTACCAAAGTAGTTATGTCATGTTGAAGGTAAAATGTTCATGCTTGGAGTGGATACAGTAATCCAGCTAGGGTGCACAAGAGATTCTTACAGCTGAATAATCATTTTCTTTTCCTTGAAGTAAAAGGTTCATTTAATTATTCATAAAGTTTGGATCATAACTCTTAGGTTGTTATTAATATGGTTATGGTGTGTATTGTCATACTCTACAAGCAAGGTCTTGCAATTTTCAATATTGAAAAGCATTTGCAAGTCTTCTGACCATTTGTGGAGCTAATGTAAACTGCTTTGCAAGGCCTCAATATAAATTCTGATTCCCAGTTTACAACAGATGTTTGTCATCAGAGGTCTTGAAAGAACCAAGAAACAAAACAAGCTAATACAGTACATAAACGAACTTTTTGTTACTTTTAAATTTGAGTACAGTTTTGTATATAGAAAAGCAAATGTAAGATATTAATAAGAATTGTTTTGACAAACTTTACAAATAAATTATAATATTAGCTAAGAAAGGTATGTGATATACAGTGTAGATTTATTTTCTGTAATGTAGAAATCACAGCATATACTGTATTGAAATTGTGGGGGATCTTGTGTCTTTCAGCCATTTACGGGTATGGGTTCTGCAAGGCAGCGCAACAGGCCTTCGTTCTTCTGGCCGCCAATGCCCTCAGGGTGGTTGCTATCAACTCAGTTGGGACCTTTGTCCTGTTTCTGGCCAAGGCATCTGTCGTCATCTGTACTGTCCTAATTGGTTTCCAAATTTTAAAGGTATGTGTCACATACGGATACTCTGGTAAATCTGTGTCTCACTCACTACAGGAGAGAGTGAACACAGACATTGCTTTAATCTTTTTATTTCTGGGGGGAGCCCCGTCGGCTCCCCAGAGCTATCCAGGCTGAATGGATATATTTTTCTGGCATCAGTCAGTGCATGGAGTTCTTGCCTACAGAGGACCATGAGTCAGAACCTGGCCCCCTCTACAGGCACAATGAGCAATGGCCTATAGAGAACCCCCTGTGGTTGGAAGCATTCTATGCTGCCATCGATCAGGACAGGCACCCAGAAAGGTAGGCACCCCAAAACAAACCCCTATTCTGGTAAAACTATTATGACCAAAGGCCGAACAGTTCATCAGTGGACAGAACTCCACAAAAATTAGCAAACTAACATAACGTCATGATGTCGCCGCGCTGCTGTCTGTGCAGCCCCCCTCCTCCCTGGGAGGGGGAAGGGGGAGCTCCAGACTTACCCGCCGGTGACCCAACCTTCAGTTCCTGGCTGATGGAAGTCTGGTGCAGTCGTGCTTCTGGCTCTGATTTTTTGTTTCGGTTCTGTGCCTTGTGGTGTGGGCTGTCTCTACAGGTGGTTCGTGAGCCAGGAGTTGCATTCCACAGTACTCGGGCTGCATGTCCCTAGGGTTCCCTTTCCTAGGTGTCCTGTAAGTACTGCCCTTGGGGCTTTGGGCCTCCTTCCTCAAGTCACCTCGGGATCTACCTCTGCTGTGCTGTTTACTGCTCGGTACTTGGCCACCCTTGCGGTCAGCTGGGGTTTTTATTACCCTTGTTTGTCTCTGAGTACGGGGTAGTTTTCGTCACTGGTCGAGGCGCAGGGTACTACACAGCTAGTTTTCACCTCTAACAGCGGCTGGCTCTGTTCCGCCTGGGTACGTTGTTCTCTTGCAGGGTTTTTCTTTTGTTTTTGTTTTCTGCCTGGTGGGGGTCTTAATTTGTGGCCCCTATCGCTGTTCTTGGGGTATATATATTTACATCTCTATATTTCTGTGTTTGGTGGTCCTCCCCGCTTGGCCCCCGTGAGTGGACACGTCTTTGGAGTTCAGCTTTAGCAGTTTGTTTGGTAGCCTTGGGTGCCGGTTTGCAGTACCCTGCCTGAGCTTCCCTTAGCATGTAACCATGGCTAAGGGCCATGGGAAACCCCACGGGGGCTGCGTGGTCCGATAGATGTGACCGTTGAGTTTCCCCTCGCGTCTTGCGAGTTTGAAGGTTGCTCTGTCCCCTTGTCTCAGGGTGACACTTGCCTGGTTTTGCCTCCGCCATGCTGCCTGTTGGGTCGATGATCATTTTGACCCAGAGTTGTGCGATGTGTGTTGTCCGTACGTACTCCCGTTCACCCTAGCCACTGATAATGATGTGCGGGTGCAGGCAGCTGCAGCATTGCATGTAAGGTTCAGGTGGCTGCAATGCTCTTGGTTGTTGCGGCCCCGGATGCCCTGAGACTGCCCCGGTTTGGTTAAGGGGTCCAGACTTTGGAGTGGGAGTCGCTTCGGCTCCAGTTCTTTTTTTTCTTTTTTTTTTAATATATACAAGAGTTGTTACATTCTTGTACAGCCATTAGTATGCATAGCGTTTCGGGCAAGTCCCTGGAATACGATCCCTGCCACGAAGAATGGTTTTTACAACCAAGTACCATTTTACTGTTGAGTTAAACATAGGCTACAGTTAAGAATTTGCGCCCAGTAAATCCTTCCCAGCCAGGATACGAACCCATGACAAAGTGCTCGCGGAACGCCAGGTAAGTGTCTTACCACTACACCACGGAGACTGAGACCATGGAGTCCTGTCCACTCTTCCTCGTCCTTTCCCTTGCTTCCGGCTTCGAACCGTAGGCAGGTTTCGGGGATGACGTAGGTTCTGGTTGGGTTGAGACTCGGGCGGTCTCAAGGGTTTCCTCTTCCGGGGTGGCAGCGGAGGCAGTGGGCTCCCTTCCTTAGTGTTTTGTACGACTGCCCCGGTTTTTACTTGTGGGGCTGGGACTTTGGGGGGAACGATTCGGCCCTGGGTCCTGCTGTAGGGGTTCCCAGGATTGGGGAAGGGTTGCCTAGGGGGGCCTAGGCACCATTTTGCCCCACTTGGGGTCTTGTACCCTCTGAGCGGGGTTTGCAGTTGCTCAGAGTTTTTTTTTCCTTTCACCTCTGTGTTTGTGTTGGTTTTGGGTCTACCTTTCCCAGGGTTCGGTTCTGTGTTCCTTCGGATCCGTTCGGTTCCATCCTTACTGGGGGTGCTTTTCACCCCCTTTCCTCACCTTTTTCACCCTTATGTCACGTTGCTATTCCCTTCGTTTCGGGATCCTTTCTCGTCCCTTGGCTAGGGATGTCTTTGGGCATGTCTGTGCCTCCATGCACTTGTGCTTGTTTTTCACGGTTTTCGTTGGTTCGTGAACCTCTTCGGCACTTCCATTGTTCTTGGAACGTCTGTTGACTTTCAGTGAGGTTTCCCTCCAGTTCTTCTTTTGTATTCACTTCGTCTCTCCTTCCTGTTTCGATATTCCTCGTCTTCGTTACCTTGCCTTGTGCATGTGTACATACACCTTGCTGGTGTATGTACGATATGTGTACAAACGACTGGTGTACGAGCCATGCTGCCCGGAAAATGGGTGGTACGTTTAGTACCTCTGTCGCTGGAGTTGGGGTGATCGTTTTGTTTCTTGGCGGTGTACACATGTGTTAGTGTTCCGCATTCTTTCTCGCGGATTCTACGCCGTTTTCGTTCCTTTTCTTTCCGGTCATAACCCCCCCCCCCCCTGGATACTTGGTGTTCTGGAGCGAGTGTGGGGCGGCTTTGAGTGGTGCCTCCTCCACCTTTGTACTGCATGCACCTCATCTTCTCCTACTGGGCTCACACCTCTGGACACTAGGGATGCACCTGTTACGTTGCATGGCTCAGCTGTGTTGTGATACGGTGTGTTTTGCAGGTGAGATTGGCGAATCTGTCGGCCAGGTGCTGGTTCTCGTTGTTTTGTGGGGTACTCGCCTCATTGTACTCGCCTAGTTGTACTTGAGGGAGTTGAGCTCTGGCTCTTTGATACCGCCTCTCCACTGTCAATCGTCAGCTGTTCAGCTTCCGGAGTCTACGAGGTTCTATCTTCTCTACGTTTGCGACTGTGTATGGAGTCTGCCTGCACTACATCACTTCCTAATGCATTTCGCTTACTGACTACTGACACTGAAACAGTTTTCTGTGTGTCTGTGGCTCTTTTGGGTTCTCGGCTTCCGCCTGTGTCCCCTTGTATGTGTACCACCTGTGTTCAATGATCCATCCTTGTCTACCCTGTCGCTTCCCCACTTAACAGGGTATCGTCATTGGCTCTTAACAGGGGTGTTAGGTGTTGTATGTTTTGCTTGGACACTTTGCGTGTATCTTACTGTGCGTACTTTGTCTTGTCTCTTGTTCGTGTTGTACTGGGAGGCACTGCTCGCATTTCAGTGCTTTTTGTTTCTTATTTCGGCGCCTTGGTCTTTTCTCGATCTTTGGACATTCCTTGCCTATCTTAGGTGCCTGGGTGCACCTGCTATCCATGGTGTCCCACTGTGTATGTGCAACCACCCACACCACATGTTGTGGCTGGTCGTTTACATTGCATTGCTGGCTGATACTTGGTCCTTATTCCGGTCTTTTCCTTTCCTATTTCTGTTTTTTCTCCCCCTCTGCTACAAATGGCTGTGTATCTTGGGTCGGTGCTTATTGGCTATCCTGTTGTTAGGTGCTGGGGTGGGCTTCTGTCCATGTTCCGTTCCATGATTTTGGACTACCCCCAGTTTTCAGTTTTGGTACCGAGTTTACTTTTTTCTTGTTCTCTCTCCTTGCAATGTCTGCGGGAGGTTGTGGACTTCCGGTCAACTGCTCCTGCCCTCCTGGATTCCTTTTATTGGGACGGGTAGCTTGGATTCCGGTCCTGGCTCCGGCGTTTCTTTGTTCTTTTTCCAGAACATGCGTTTTTTTCCTGGCGGTACACGTCCTGAGTAGTTCTCCTCCTGTGTACCTTGGTGATGTGTATACCTTGGTGTACCTCGTTCTTCCCTGCTGGGGCTAATTGCGCTGCTCCTTAGGGTTGGGGGTCACTGCTTTTTGCTTCGAGTCTCGAGCTTTAGCTCGTGGTGCTCGGTTTCCTCGTTGGTCTCTGCCTGGGCCCTGGCTCTTCAGTGTTTGGCCTTGTTGGTCCTTCCAAGGTCCTGGGGGGGGGGCCCTCCCAGACGGGGCGTTTATGCTCGTCCGGGTTGGTTCCTTTCGGCTCGCCGGGATTGGGTTCCTGGTTCCCTGGCAGCCGTTCTTTCTGGTTTTTGACAGGCCTTGTTTGGGGGCTGTTTTCTGGTTCCGATCCTGAGGGGGCTCCACCACTTTTTGCGAATCAGTCCAGCCCTGTATGGAGCTGGTTCGTTCTTCCCCTCGAGTCTTCACGTCTGGGGGTTTTGGTCTCGTGTTCTCGTCACTTGTGGGGGCACTGGTGGCTTTGTTGTTGGTCTCCCGCCTGCGTGCAATGTCTCGGCGGCAGTGTGTGGTTTCCTGGCGATCCTTCTGGTTTTCCTATCACTGCAAAGGGTTCTTTGGTCTCTGATAGGGTTGTCTTGTCTTTCCCTTCGGGGTTGTTCTGGGACCATCATCTGGTGCCGTGTACTGTTACCTCATCTTGGGTGGCGCTGGTGGAGCCGCTCCAGATTGCATTCGGTGTTGCTGTTCCTTCTGCTCCATTCCGATTGCTGTCTTGGGCGTTGTTTCACCTCCGGCCTGATCTTGCACTTCTGGTGCTGTCCTGGTCATTGGCCCGGGTGGTCTATTTTCTTCTCCTCGGTTGTCATGGTCCCTTCGGTTCTGGTGTATTTTTGTTTTCCAGGTCTCCTCCTTCTGTTGGTGTTGACCTCTAGGGGTTGGGTCGGGAAGCTTCCGGCTCTCTGGCTCCAGTGTTTTTCTGCCTCGTTGGTCCTCTTGTAAGGTTGTTCTTTTGATGCAGTCTCCATCTTCTTGGGCGATGTTTGGATCTGCTGCTTCCTGAGGGGTCCTTGGGTTGCTGCTTGGTTGGTCAGGCTGGTGGTGCTTTCTTTTGTTGTTTGGTTGGGGCTCTTCGCTATTTTCTGCGCGTCTTGGCCTCTGGGGCTGTGGACGTTTTTGGGTTGCCCAGATTCCCTTACTTACCTCCTTCCTGTTCTGGGGTTCGGGTCTCCTGGATCATTGGCAAGGTCCTTTCTTTTAGTCTGTGGTCTTGTTTTCATGTTAAAGTGAGTGGCATCTACCTCCCAGATCCTTCTTTTTTTCCTTATCCGTTGTGAGGTAGCTCCAGGGAGCCGATGGGGTTCCCTCCAGAAAACCAATGTTGAATGTAATGAAACGCCATTTTCTGGGCGAGTCCTGGAAGATCCCCGGCATCCCTCCCTCCTTCCTGGTTGGCGGTGTTTTACTCGCTTTTTGACATCCAGCCTAAGAACTGAAGGTCGCCGGCGGGTAGGTGTGGGGTTCCCCCTTCAACCTCCCGGGGAGGGGGGTGTTGCGCAGACAGTGGCGCGGTGACATGATGATGTCATGCTTGTTTGCTAATTTTAGTTTGGCGAGTTCTGTCCACTTGTTCGGCCTTTGGTCGCAATAGTTTTACCAAAATAGGGCTTTGTTTTGGGGCGCCTACCTTTCTGGGTGCCTGTCCCGGTCGATGGCAGACAGAATGCTACCAACCACAAGGAGGGGGGGGGTCTCTAGGCCATTGCTCCTCGTGCCCCTCCAGAGGGGGCCAGGTTCTGGTTTGTTGACCCAGTAGGCAAGAACTCCATGCATTGACTGATGCCAGAAAGATGTACATATCCATTCAGCCTGGATAGCTCCAGGTAACCTCTGGGACTCGCCCAGAAAATGGCGTTTCATTACATTCAACGCTGGTTTTTTGCCACTAATTACTGTATTATTATTATTACAGGTAATGCCAAATGAAAAGTGACAATTTATTTGAAAAATTTCTGGCAATATTTATTTTTTTTTTAAAGTCAGTGTGTAACCTTTGCAGTCTGTTAGAGGATGGTACCCTATGTGACGGTGTAACACAGCCATAATGATAGAAGGCTTTCTTTCCGTTCACACATCAACAACACACTACCCACTCAGCCTTAATACATGTGTACAAAAATATTTTGTAGTATACAGTGATGTACATTCTTTGATTTTGTAGCATGCGTTGAGTCTTGATCATATAGCATGCAGCAAATCTTGATTAAGAGATGATGTTATTGCCATGTAAGACATGGTGTTGGCTTTATTACAGCATGTTTTGACCATCTTTCCTCTCAACAGACCAAGCCCGAGCTGTCATACGTGTGGGTTCCACTCCTCCTCATCGCTATATTTTCCTTCTTCATCGCCCACTGCTTTATCTCCGTCTATGAGGTCAGTGACTCCAACACTGTTGACCACAAATGAGGTCAGATTATACAGGATTGATAGAGAAATAATTTCTCTGGCTATAAACATGAATGACTACAATAGGTTAGGTGAGGAAATCCAACAGGAAAAATAGTTTTTGTCAGTACAGATGGAGGAAGTTACATAGGGAATAGGGCCGGGCAAGAAGGATGAAATCACCTATTCACAAGTAGCCAAGGAGAAGCAAAAATAGAAGCAGCAGTAAAGGAAGCCAAACACTACAGCAACCAGGATAATACAAATTAGGCTGGAAGTTAGAGAGGAACCGGCATCAAACCCGAAATTGGTGCAAAACACAGTCGATCGAAGTAAGTTCCTATTAATTTTTGGGTGCAAAGAAAAGGAAATAACATCTAGGTCAGAAAGAGAAATAAAAAAGGAAAGTAGATAAAACTGTTGAGCTAGTAGAAGGTCTTGCAACCAAAGAGAATGTCTGCGACTACAGGAAATTTCGCAGGTACAAAAAAAGAAAAAATCGACCCTTGAGGATCACCCTAAATGGTGCTAAACAGATGGAAGAAGTAATCAGTAATGTTAGGAAACTGCAAGACGATGAGGAAAGCAAATTATGGTCATTAAGACGAGATCTTTCAAAAGAAGAGAGAAGCTGAAACTGAACCACAAAGAGGCAAAACATTTAAATGAAAGCAGGAACAAAGAAAAAATAAAAAGTAAAAAAGTAAAGTGGTACACAAGAGCAAACCAACAAAATCGCTAGAGAAAGGGGTAGTGAAGAATAAAGAGAGAGGAACATGTTCCTGAAAATTGTATACATCAATGTAGATGGAGTGAGATCAAAGATACTTTAGGTAAGTGATACAGCTGCAGATGCCAGACATTGTTGAACTCAGAAAAAAAAAATAAAAATAAAATGTTTATTTAGGTAAGGTACATACATACAATAAATTTTTACAAAGATTGGTTGACTTATAGGTAGAGCTAGTACATATAATGCCAAAACATGAAACGAAGAGACGAAACTTTAATATTTTAAATGAGGTCATATTCCCAAGGGGCTACTCAGTTTGGAGACGAGACAGAAAAATTAGGAAAGGTGGTGGTGTTTCTGTGCTGGTGAAAGAACACCTAAAGGTGAAGTGATTATTGCCAATCCACAAGAAATTGATATGATAGCACACGAGATCTGCAATCAGGATCATAAACTAACGATCATGTATGCATATAGTCCACTACCATGCAACACATGGACAAAGGAGGAGCTGGATAATAAACGAGAGGGGGTCTTATAACAGTAATGAGAGATTATAGTGAGAGGGGATCACGACTGATGGTAGTTGGCGAATTCAACTTGAAATCCATAGACTGGGAGGCATATGAAGATAGAAGAGAGGACTTTTGGACTTGTAGATTCGTGAACCTCATCCTGGAAACATTCATGTATCAACAAGTTAAACAAGCTACGAGGATGAGTAAGGGGGATGCTCCCTCCATGCTGGATTTGATATTTATCGGGAAAGAGGAAGAGATATTCGACATTCAATACCTTCCTTCCTTGGGTAAAAGTGACCATGTCATTTTGGAAATAAAGTATGCAATGCATTATAATCTGGAAGAAAATGAAGTTGAAGCAGTTGACAACCCTGATTTCAGGAGAGGGCATTATGGGGGAAATTAAGAAATTTTTTAATGACTTGCTGATAGGGAAGGACGTAAATGAGATATACAGTGGAACCTCGAATAACGAATTTAATCCGTTCCTGCGCCGTGATCGTCATGTGAAACGGACAACATACAAAACGAATTTCCCCATAGACAATAATGGAAATCAAATTAATCCATTCTACCACCGGAAAACATCAATATGATATTCGATGTTTTAAATAATTGAGCAGCCTACCTTACATACATTGAACAAACCTTTGACATTTTTCTTTTCAAATTTGTTATATATTTTTTTCTGGGGGAAAGCCCTGTCGGCACCCCGGAGCTATCCATGCTGGTTGGATATGTATATCTGTCTGGCATCAGTGTGAATAGACTTCTTGCCTGCCGGGAACCAAGGGCCAGAACCTGGCCCCCTCTAGAGAGGCACAAGGAGCAATGGCCTATAGAAACCCTCCCCCACCCCCCCACCCCTGTGGTTGGGAGCATTCTATGTCTGCCAACGACTGGGACAGACACCCAGAAAAGTAGGCATTCCAAAACAAACCCCTATTCTGGTAAAAGTATTGCGACCGAAAGCCAAACAGGTGGACACAACTCCCCAAATGAAAATTAGCAAACTAGCATGACGTCATTATGTCGTGGGTTGTTATCTGCGCAACACCCACCCCCCTCCACAGGAGAGGAAAGGGGGAGCCCCAAACCCATCTGCCAGCGACCCCACCTTCAGTTTTTGGCTGATGGGAGTCTGGTGGGGTCGTGCCTCTGGCTCCAAGTTTTCGTTACAGTTCTGTGCCTTGTGGTGTGGGCTGTCCCTTCAGGTGGTGCATGAGCCGGGAGTGATATTCCATGGTACTCGGGCTGCATACACCTAGGGTTTCTTTCCCTAGGAGCCCCTGTAAGTACTGCCAATGGAGCCGCCTTCCACAACTCGCCTCGGGATCTACCTCCGCTGTGCCGTTTACTGCTCGGTATTTGGCCACTTTTGGGGTCAGCTGGGGTTTTTTCTTGCCCTTTTGTCTCTGGGTACGGGGTAGTTTTCATCACTGGCTGGGGCGCAGGGTGCTACACAGTTTGTTTTTACCTATAACAGTGGCCGACTCTGTTCCGCCTGGGTATGTTGTCCTCTTGCGTTTTTGTTTGTTTATTTTCTGCCTGGTGGGGGGGGGGGGGTCTGCCGTTGTCATCCCCCTTCGCTATTCTTGGGGTATATATATATCTTTACCTTGTGTTCGTGGTCCTCCCCGCTTGGCCCCCGTGAGTGAACACGTCCCGGGGGTTCAGCTTTAGGAGTTTACTTGGTAGACTTGGGCGCCGGTTTGCAGTACCCTGCCTGGGCTTCCCTTAGCATGTTACCAAGGCTAAGGGCCCTGGGAAACCCCTCGGTGGCTATGTGGTCTGATGGATGTGACCCCTGAGTCCCCTCTCGCATCTTGCGAGTTTGAAGGTTGCTCTGTCTCCTTGTCTCTGGGTGACACTCACTGGTTTTGCCTCCGCCATGCTGCCTGTTGGGTCAGTGATTGTTTTGACCCAGAGTCATGTGACATATGTTATCTGTACTTACTCCAGCTCACCCAAGCCACTGATAATGTGATGCGGGTGCAGGCATCTACGAGGTTGCATGCTAGATTTAGATTGCTGCAATGCGCTCCGTTGGTTGTGGCCTCGGATGCCCCGAGACTTCCCTGTTTTGGTTATTGGGACCTGAACTTTGGGGTGGGAGTCACTTCGGCTCTGGTTCCGTCCATCCCTCCTAGTCCTTCCCCTTCTGTAGTGCATCAAGTTCCCCCCCCCCCCTCCCCTTGCTTCCAGCTCCAAAGCATCTGAGTGTTTCGGAGTTGAGGCAGGATCTAGTTGGTGTGGAGACTCAGATGGTCTCAGGGGTTTCCTCTTCTGGGGTTATGGTGGAGGCATTCGAGCCTGGTTCTTTTGTCGGAGCTTCAAGGTCTGGCCCGTGGGTCCCCTATGTTCCTGCTTTTTCGCCAGCTCCCGCCTTTTCTTTGGAGGTGGGGAGTTAGGGGGCCGGCTCGGCCCCGGGTCCTCAGGGTGAGGTTTCCGGGGTTGGGGGGGGGTTGACTTGGGGGGCCTTGGGCCCAGTTGGACCCTGCCTGGGTTTTTCTGCCCTCAGAGTGGGGCTTAGTGTTAAAGGAGAGGGGTTATCTTTCGCTCCCTCTGCGTACGAGTTGGATTTATTGTCCACCCCTCCCCAGGTTCGGTTCCGTGATCCTGCGGGTTCTTCGGTTCCGTCTTTCCGGAGGTTTCCAGCTTTCCGCGTCTCGTCTTGAGGTGCGGGAGGCCCTGGCAGCATACCTCCTGCGCGACCCGGATTATGCCTTCGTGATGTGGTTCCACGTTCCTTCATGTACGGCTCTTCTAGTTCTTACTGGGATCGTTATGAAATTTCGGAGTCGTTCTGGTTGGCAGACTGCCCTCTATTCTCGTTGGAGGCTTGGCACACGTTCTGTTGGTCCCTCGTGCTTGAGTGGCAAGAGACACAGTCGGCATTTCTACGGGCTCACCATAGCCCGTGTTACTTGGAACTTGTGTAGCGTATATTCGTCCATGTAGTGAATCTTTAACAACAACAGTAGTCGGCATTTCAGGTTTTCCTGGGAGGCGACTTCGAGCATCTCAATGCTTGTTTGTTCGCCCCTGCCTTTCTGAGGGATGTTGGTGTCATGCAGCTTCATGTGCAGGTTCCCTTCCTTTCGACTGCCTTGATTGCTGAGGATTTGCATACCAGTGGCCTGCTTGCTTCAGCTCTGCGTTTCTTTTCCCTCCTCGAGCTGTCCTTGGACTGGCTTGAGTTGGATGAGGGGGGGCTCTTGGGCCTGCGGCTGGGTCTGGTGCACTGCCTTCCGCGGTGCAGGCGTTGTCTGCTTTGTTGAAGCTCTTCATGCCACTCCTGCGTGATGCGGTTTCGCAGTTCTATGCTTCTCGCCTCGCATGTCGGCAGGCAGTGCTGGCTTCTTCCTTACTTTCCACTTGGGCACTGGCTCTTCGATTGTCTTTGCCTTTTCGTCTGTTGCTGTTTGCTAAGTCTGTTGTTGTGCAGTACCTGCAGGCGGCCTCGATTAGTTGTCGGCCTATGTCTGTGTTGTTGTTGCCCCCGGAGGATCGTGGAGGGGGCCTTCCCAGAAGGGTTGTGCCAGGGCTCGGGGATCTTTTCATTGTGGTAGGCCATTGGTGCCAGATTCGGGGCAGGCGCAGACTCCGGTTCCGGCTGTTTCTGATCGGCGCAAGGATCGCCCTCTTCGCCGCTTGGGTTCTCGCAAGGCACGTTGGCCCTTTCACGGTTCATCCCATTGATGGGCGATATGGGGGGGGCTCGCTTTGTTTGC